CCACAGCAGCCCTCCGCGGAGCCCCCAACGCCAGGGGAACCAGCGCCCCTCCCAGGTCACCCAGCTAGCCACACCCCCGGGGACGGTGACGCTCCAGTGCACCCCCAGCCCCGTCCCTGAAGGAGGCGCCTTGCCTCCACCCGCCACCCTCCCTGCACGGGGACCAGGGGACTGCGACATGGGGGGGGGGGTCCTCACCCTGGAGAGAGCAGAGCCGACCGCCCATGGAGAACCCGGGCCGGCCACTGGGCAGGCAGTGCTGGGCTCGCCACACCCCAGAGGATCTATGGTGACAGCGGCCTCCGAGATCAGGAGCGTTAGGAGGGGCCCCGCCCCCACCACGCAGCCCCAAGGCTGCGCTCGGCTCCTTCTCCCACCTCCCGCCTCGGTGAAGTTTAGGATGTGGTCTGCGGAGGGGAGGGAGGGGATGGCCTTGAAGGGATGCAGGTGACCTTGGAGGTCTGTGCTGGGGAAGAAAAGCGCTAAATTCCTGACAAGTCCCTCACAGTGACGCTCTGGCCGGGCTGGGCAGCTCGCCTGTAATCTCAGCACTCCAGGAGGCTGAGGCAGGAGGCTGAGGCAGGAGGTCCGGCTCCAGCCTGGGCAATTTAGTGGGCCCCATCTCAAAATTTTAAAAAACGGAAAAGCACTGGGACATAGCTCAGTATGAAGCCCTGGGCTTCACCCTCAGTAGCTTAAAAAACTAATCAGCAGGCTCAGCCCCCGGCATCCCCTCCCAGGGCACGGAACGGGGCATCTGTCCAGCCCGGTCCCTGCCAGCCCCTCAGGCCAGGGCTGAGCTCATGCTTTGGGAGGCAGCCACCGCGCCACTTCCCAGGGCAGATGCCAGCGTGCACGGGCCCCCAGGTCCCCCACAGCCCCAGAGCCCCCAGGCCCAGCCTCCGAGCGGGTAGGGGCCCTGTGCTCCAGGGCACAGCCAGCCAGTTCACGGTGGGATAGGGCGCCCGGGCACAACGGCAGGGGCCCACACGGGGGCTCTGGCCACTCAGACAGGGCCAGGACAAAGGCAGCCCCGTCACCCCTCCCCTCTGCCCGGGGTCTGGCAGCGACCTGAGAAGGCGGGCATGGGGGGCAGGGAACGGGTGCCAGGGCAGCCTTTGCCACTGTCGTCCCCTTGCCAGCGTGTGGGGGTGGCTCCCTGACACCCCCTCTCTGCAGGAGGGGCAGAGCAGTCAGACCACCCGGCTCCCACCCCCTCGGCCTGCAGCTGTGTGACACCATGTGGCCCCCATGCGGCCCCTCCGGAAACTGTCACGTCAGCCACCCAAAGTGAGGCCCAACAGCACATGGCCGCAACACGCGGGCGCTGCCCACAGGATGCAGCAATACATGGAGACGGAGAGGGAGGCCGCCCGAGCCCTAAGCCGGGCAGCTGCAGTCCCCACGCTGTGGGAGGCGGAGGCAGGACAAGCTCAAGCCCAGCCTGGGAGATTTAATGATGGATGGAGAATCTGCCTGATGGTAATAGCAAAATTTTTACAAGGGCTGGAGCTGGAGCTTGAATTGGAGGTCCTGGGTACAATCCCCACTCCCAAAGAAACAAAAAAGACAAAAAAAAAAAAAACCCACAACCGCCTGAGGCGTAACAGCGAACACTGTAAGGGAAGGCAGCACAGGCAGGGCACAGGCTCAAAGGGAATGGGTGCTTCTTTTATCAAATTCATATCTTTCTATTTTGAGATTATGGATGGGTGAGCCAGGCGTGGTGGCACATGCCTGGAATCCCAGCACTCAGGAGGCTGAGGCAGGAGGATCGTTGCAAGTTTGAGGCCAGCCTGGGCTACAAAGTGAGCTCAAGTCCAGCCTGAACTGCACAGGGAGACCCTGTCCCAAAAAGACAAAAAAAAAAAGAGAGAGAGATTATGGATGGGTGGGCCAGGTGTGGCACACACCTGTAATCCCAGCACTCAGGAGGCTGAGGCAGGAGGATTGTTGCAAGTTTGAGGCCAGCCTGGGCTACAAAGTGAGTTCAAGGCTAGTGTGAACTACTCAGTGAAACCCAGTCTCAAAAAATAAAACAAAACAAAAAGAGAGAGAGATTATGGATGGGTAAAAGCTAAGAAATTAGTCTGTGGGGTTTTTACATGGTGCTGGGGATGGCCTCAGCCATGGACCCAGGGCCTCAGGCATGCTGGGTCTGTGCTCTGCAGCAGACTGCACCCAGGCAGTCTGAAAAAAACTAACCTTTACTGCCTGGTGCCACAGGCGTCACAGCGATACCTCCAGATCCCACCAGACACGGAGCCGCTCTCCTGGGGCACCCGGCAGGCACAGGGTGAGGAAGCAGGGCTCCAGGTCAGAGCCAGAATCCAGGCCTCTCATGATGGGAGGGGATGAGGGGGGTCACAGCTCAGCTCAGAGTTGGATGTGGCATCTGGGCTGCCACTGTGCCCTCCTGTGCAGCTCAGTCCCGGCGCCCCCAGGGCCCTCAATGGTGGCAAGGCATCTGTTGCAGCCAGTGCCTGCTGGCCTCACCCTCCAGTCCTGCCTCACTGTGTGCTGCCTGCCGCCGGGCCTTTGCACCACCTGCCCAGAACTCCTCTCTCTCTGCCCTCACACTCTGCTTGTGCATCCATCCCTTCTTTGGTGACCTTGGCCATTCCTTGGCCGTGGTGACCTCCCAGCCCTGGTTGGGCCCCAGCTACAGGATCTCAGGACACAGCTCCCCGTTAAGTCAGGGAACCGCCGCAGGACAGGGACTAGAGCTGTCCGAGGAGACAGCCAGTGGCCGAAGCACAGCGCCAAGCAGGTCCTCCAGGTCTTACTGTCCGATGGTGGTGGGGAGATGGACCTCTGCCATGGGAAGGGGATGGAGAGATAGAGGAGGGAAAGGGCTGTGAAAAGAATTAAGATGTGTTCTGTGCTTGTACCCTCGCCCCACGAGGAATGCAACCATTTTGTACTGCAGAGGTGGACTAAGGAATTTTCAAAAGTTTAAAAAAAAATTGGTCAAGCCCAGTGTGGTGGTGCACACTTATAATCTGAGCACCCAGGAGGCTGAGGCAGGAGGATTGCCATGAGTTCAAGGCCAGCTTGGGCTACACAACAAGTTCAAAGCTACTCTGAACTATGTACTGAGACCCCCGTCTTAAAAAAAAAAAGAAGGGCTGGGGATATAGCTCAGTGGAACAAGCCTGCCTGGCAAGCGCAAGGTCATGAGTTCGATCCCCGGTACCAAAAAAAAAAAAAGTTCAATGAACAGAGTATCTTACAGCCAAACAATGGGCGTCTAAGTTTCGCATGACACGAAAAATATATCTGATGGTATTTATTAAAAGGCAAAACAGAAGCTTCCAAGTTGTTTATGCTGCACAAGTAGAAGGAACTATACCAAGATCATAATGTAGCTGACCCTGTGTATCAGTGCGTTCTGTATCTGCTGATTTTTTTTTTTTTTTTTTTAGTCTTTTTGAGGCAGGGTCTCGCGCTGCAGTTCAGGCTGGCCTTGAGCTCACTTTGTAGCCCAGGCTGGTCTCAAGCTCACAATGATCCTCTTGCCTCAGCCTCCCAAGTGCTGGGATTACAGGCGTGCGCCACCACGTCCGGCCATGTATCTCCTGATTTAATTAACCAATTGCAGATGGAAAATCTCTTGGGGAGAGGCAGGGGTACATACACCTGAGCCAGACAAGGTGAAGCACACACCTATAAGCCTCATACTCTGGAAGGCTGAGGCAGGAGGATCACAAGTTCAAATCTAGCCTGGGCAACTTAGTAAGACCCCCCTTCCCAAAATGTACATGTACCAATTCCCCAAGATGAATGTAATCATTATGTACTGCTAACATGGACCACTAAAAAAATACATGCTGGGGATGCAGCTCAGCGTAAAGTCCTGGGGTTCAATCCCCAGTATCACCAATAAATAAATAAGGAACATAAAGAATCAAAAACCAGTTGCATCTGTACTGGTTGGGGGTTTAGCTCAGCGGCACAGCACCTGCCTGGCAAGCACAAGGTCCTGAGTTTGATCCCTGGTAGGGCAGGGGAGGGGTTGCATCTGTATTGACTGCAACCAGACTTTCCAGTCATTGTTCCCTAAAGATACAATGTAATAAGTATCTGCACAGTAGTTACAATGTAGCCCTAGCAAGGGCCAGTCACCTACAGCCAATTCAGAGTCTGGGATGGAGGCAAGCATCCACTTAACCAGGGGTAACCAGGCACCGTTTGACTGGCGCGACTTGAACATCAGAGGAATCTCTGAACCTGCCGGGGGGCTCAACCCATTCTACAGACACCAAGAGACAAGGACGGTCCGTCTCTAAGGAGTGGGGCTGTGCGGATTCACCCGCGGCTCACGTTTATGATCAAGAGCAGTGGAATGGTCGCTGCCCGCTCCTGCCGGTGCAGGTCCTGCCGGGTGCTGGGCAGAGTCCAGAGCAGGCACCTGTACCCGCCCAAGACAAAGGCATGCAAGGCAACGGGCACAGCCAGCGCAGAGGCTGATGGGAAGACGGGGCTCGGACAATGGCTGGACCCTGGGGGGAGAGGCGAGGAGGCAGAGCTTGCATCCTGGCTGGGCTTACTGCGCGAGTGAGCCTGAGGAAGGCGCCCGACCCCTCTGGAGCTTCCCTCCTCACGTCTGAGCGGGGCATCAGTGGTGCCCTCCTCCCAGAGCTGCTGAGGCAAGAGGGATGGAGACAGCGGGCCAAAACAAAAGCCTATCCAACAGCTAGTTGTTAAAGAACCTGCAGCCAGGCGTGGTGGAGCATGCCAGTAATCCCAGCACTCTGGGAGGCTGAGGCAGGAGGATCACCAAGTTTAAACCCAGCCCAGGCAAGTTACTGGCTTATGGAGTATGTATCTCAAAATGAAAAAAATAAAAGGGCTGGGCACGTAGCTCAGAGCGCAGGCCCTGGGTTTGAGCCTCCACGCTGCAAAACCAAAAAGAATTCTGAGTGAATCGCGGGCCTCTGGGCTGTTACAGAGGAACCCCGTCCCCACGTAGCCCCGTGCCCCGCCCCTTCCCCACGCACCTTCCTTGGAGCCGGTGGCCGCCGCTGTGGCAGAGCCCGAGGCGGAGCCAGTGGACGTCCTGCCCATGGGGCTGGAGTGTTTGCCCCCTCGGCCCGGGGGCTTCAGGCCGCTGGGCTTCTGCATGCTGGCGCTGGCGGAGAGCAGACAGGGTGGGCCCGGATCACGTCCTCTCGGCCATCCTCACGCACCTGTGGGCAGGGGACAGAGACCTCGTGAGCTGCGGCAGCGGAGCAGGGCCAGCTCACCCACCGCTGATGCCGCCTGCGGGGTCCTGGCGCTCTGACCCCGGGCGGCCGGGACTGTGGCCCGCCTGTCCCGCGTGTGGACAGCAAGGAACGCAGAAGCACAAGCATGGGCCCGGTCTGCCGGGCACCAGCTCCGGCTGCTCTGGCCCCTCTCCAGCCAGGTGCCCCAAGGCAGGGGCCGAGGATGACAACTGTGTCCCTGCCGACCCTAGACGTCACCCCTGACCAGGCGCTTCCGGCCTTGCAGCTGCTCCTGTTCCTTTGCCATCTCTTCCCACGCCACCTGGTGACCACCCTGCCCAACACCACCTCCTCCAGGAAGCCTCCCAGGACCTGCGGCCCATGGGGACGTTGGGGCACAGGCTGAGTCTCAGAGGGGGTCTCTGTCCTCCCTGTTCTGCGTCCTGCCTCCTGGGAGCCTGAGGGACCCTCAGAGGAGGTCGAGTCTCTGTCTCTGAGATCCCAGCACTGGCCTAGGGCCTATGATTAGGAAATTCCCAGAAGGGCAGGCCCTCAGGCCACAAATCCTGGGGACACTCCTCCCAGAGGACACTGTCACAAGTGCCCTGCTGGACTCCCATGAGCAGCCCGATGTACGCCAGGCCTTTTCTTTTTTATTTTTTTTTTAACAGTCTTGCTATGTAGCCCAGACTGGCATTGAATTTGTGGCAATCCTCCTGCCTCAGCTTCCCATCTGCTGGGATGACAGGTGTGTGCCACCACGCCCAGCCGGCCAGGCCCCTTCCTTTCTTCCTTTTTATTTCTTTCAGTACTGAGGCTCAAACCCAAAGCTTTTGCACTGAGGTACACCACAGCCCTTTTTATTTATTTTAAAACAGGAGCTTGTGATCCTCCTGCCTCAGCCTCCCAGCATGCTGAAATTATGGCTAGATGCCCGGTTTTGCAGGAACATGGCCTCGCTGGTCCTCGCAGGCCCCTGAGGAGATGGCAGCAGCCATCCCACCAGGAGACATCAGAAGCACAGAAACAGTGGCTGTACCGGAACTGCCCAGGGCCGTCCCCCACCCCCAAGCCCGGGCCTGTAATAACATTTGTGAGACCCTGGCCTCTGGGGATGGTGCTCGCTTGCTGTAACTGACAAAGGACAGCAGAGAGCTGGCCAGAGAACCAAGGCACCATTCAGCCAGGCCCGGCCACCCCAGCTGGGGGACCGGAGGGGACGGCGGGGGGGCAGCCCCGATCCAGGAGCCCGGAACAGACACGGGCGAGAAGAATGCGACAGGAGGAGGGGAGGAGGCCAGCGGCCCGCTGTGACTCAGCCACACCCAGGGGACAGAGGAAGGCGGGTGCCTGAGCAAAGCAGAGACGTGGGGAAACCTGGCTTTGGGCCACGCTGCGTCTGACAGCAGGCAGAGAACAGCGCTGCGTCTCATTCAACCCGAGGTCCAAACCCAGATTACCGCGAGAGGCTGGGGGACCCTGGACCGGGGGTGACAATGGGGTCAGGAGGGATGTGGGTTCACCCCCTCTGAAATGGGGCGCAGGTTCGGCGGTCTCGTGGGCCACCGGTGACCAAGGACAGAGGCGCCCAGGAGCACCCAGGGCTGGACACCGTCAGCCTCTGCAGCTTCCGTGCTGGGCACCCTCGGGGACCCGGGTGGGCGTGGGCGGGCGCCCTTCACCCCAACAGGCCCCCTTTGTGTTGCCAGCGCTGCCGTTTCCTGCAGACAGAGCCGGCTGCCTTTCAGGGCTCCCTTTCAGCGGCTGGGGGCGGCGGGCACACGAGGCCCGCGACACTCCACCAATGGGCAGCCCTGTCGCCGGGGCGGGTGCCAAATAGGGCAGCGGAAAGCCCATCTCCGGCTCAGGCGGCGCACAGCCCTGGGAGGCGGCCGCCAGGAAGCGGGGCCACACCCAGAGACAGTCACCTCAGCAGGGACGCAGCTGCTGCCCCCCAGCCCCTCACCCAGCCATCAGGGGTCTCAGCAACCAGGGTGCCCGGGCCCGCAGCACCCAGAGGTCCAGCTGGTGCGGCCCCAGCCGAACAGCCACACCCTAAAGCACAGGCCTTGGAGACACCACACCGGCCAGAGCTCTGCCCTGGGGCCCGGGGGGCGGGGGGCACGGAGGTACAGCTGGGACATGTGTGGCCACACTCACGGCGGGGCCTTGGGGACAGGGAGGTGGCGGAGGGCTGGCCCATGCGGACAGAGGCTGCAGAGGATGCACAAGAGAGGCTCAGTGTGGTGGCTCATGCCTGTAATCCCAGCACTTGGGAGGCTGAGGCAGGAGGATTGTTGCAAGTTCCAGACGAGCCTGGGCTACAAAGTAAGCTCAAGGCCAGCCTGAGCTGCACAGTGAGACTCTATCTCAAAAAGACAAAAAGAAGGGGCTGGGAATTTAGCTCAGCAGCACAGCGCCTGCCTGGCAAGCGCAAGGTTGTGAGTTCAACTCCTGGTACCGAAAAAGAAAAAAAGAGAGAGAGAGATGCTCAGCGGAAGCAGAAGCCCACGGTATGGTGGAGACAGGACGGACTTGGAGTCTTCCAGATGCAGGGGAGCCTGGACCCCCAGGAGCCAGGCAAGAGCGTCATCCAAGGCCCCCACACGCCCAGGCAGCCTTACTGAGGCTGGACATGGGAATAGTGCACACAGAAGACTCTGCTGGTCCCCCAGCGGGGATGGCACCGTGCCAGCCCGGGAGACAGCAGGGAAGTGGGCTTGGGGGTCGGAGGCAACTGGGATGAGTGGGGTAACCAGGCTGTCTTTCTTTGAAGGTTTGTGAATGCCCGAGGGACATTTCTGTGGGCTTTCACTGTGTCTCATCTGTGCCTTCTTTGGGGTGCTTAAAATGCTTTGATCGTTTTTTAAGTGCAAAGTAAATTAGCCAGGTGTGGTGGTGCACGTCTGTAATCCTGGTATTAGGGAGGCTGAGTCAGGAGGATCACCAATGAAAGTTTGAGACCAGCCTGGGCTACATAATAAGTTCAAGTCCAGCCTGAACTGCATAGCAAGACCCTGTTTCAAAAAACCAAAACCAAACAAAAAAGACAGAGAAAAGTAAGAGAATGGCCCACTCCCACAGAAGTGGGGGGCAAGCCCCAGAGTGGACCTGAAGATGCTGACCCCCAGGCTGGGTGCCCCAAGCCAATGGTGGACCCTTTTGAGGGGCATGTGGGGCAGCCTGCTCCACCAGACACCCCAATGCCACCCATCCCACACCCGCCAGGGTGACCTGCCCGGCTTTCCATCGTCCCCTGAAGCGGGGAGGGAGGGCCACCCTGACTGCACTTGACCAAGGCTTGGGAACCCGAGCGGCTTGACCTAGGTCACCAGCGATGACTCTAATGTCTCCATGTCCCCGGCATCCGGGGCAAGCAGAGGGCAGGGCGGGAACGGCCCCTGTGTGAGTCTCCCGCCAGCTGCTCCAGGCCAGGGAGTGCAGGAAACAGCGCCTGTCTGCCTGCCGCTGTCCCCACCACACCCTTTGCTCACCCGCTGTCCCAGTCCCCAGGGCCCAGCGGGAAGCCCCCAGCTCTGCAGGCCCCACAAACCCAGCAGCAGGGGTGCAGGGAGCCCAGAGACAAATGTGGTGGGGTGGGCCCTGCGGAGGTCCCCAGTCACCCTGACAGCACCAAGGGCCCAGTGGCCACACACACAGTAGGGACAGCTGGGCCCAGGGTGGAGCTGGGCTGGACACGGGTTCCAGAGGGAAAGAGCACGGGGTCAGGCAGTGCAGACGGCAACACCCGAACCCAGGATGAGCAGGGAAGAGAGACCCCCAGGGCCAGCGCCCCTAGCCAACCCCCAGCTCCTCCCTCACCAGCGCCAGGAGACACTGGGGGTCAGGGCCCGCCCCCCACTATGCTCACCCTCCCCACTCTCCCTGAGCTAGGGTCAAAGCTTCCCATTGTCTCCCCCCCCCCCGGCCCCAACCCCGGGAATCGAACTCATGACCTCGCGCTTGCCAGGCAGGCACTGTGCCGCTGAGCTAAATCCCCAGCCCCGTCTTTTTTTTTTTACTTGTTTTCTTTGCAGTACTGGGGATGGAACCCAGGGCCTTCACAATGACCTACACCCCCAGCTCTTTTTATTTGGAGATAGGGTCTCACTAAATCGCCCAAGTTGGGCTCAAATTTGCAATGCTCCTGCCTCAGCCTCCCTTAATACTGGAGTGAGGTTGGGCGTGGTGCTGCACATCTGTAATCCCAGCACTTGGGAGGCTGAGGCAGGAGGATGGTTGCAAGTTCGAGACCAGCCTGGGCTACAAAGTGAACTCAAAGCCAGCCTGAACTGCATAGTGAAGTCCTGTCTCACCAAGACAAAAAAAAGACACACAAAAAAGGCATCTCCCCAGCCTTGCCAGCAGTGTAGGATGCTGGCAGATGCAGACAACAGCCACACTCACACACACACAGCGGAGCTGGCACTGGCAGAACCAGGCCCCGAACATGCCTCAGAGCCTGGCCCCGGTGGGTGGCCACCTACAGCTATGGCGACAGGACGCCAGGCCTCCGTCACTGGCCCAGGATGCTGCGCAGACAGCGGCCCCCTTCTGGGGGCTGAGGGTCCCCACGTCTCCACCCGGCCTGGGGGTGGGTAAGCGCTGGGGACAAGCACAGCGCATGCGCCACTGGGACTTTGCTTCCCATTTCTCAGAATGCGAACAGAGAAGAGATGCACCGAGGCCAGAGCAGGTGACCAAGACAGGGAGGGTCAGCTGCCCACATGGTCAGACGTGGGGCTGGGCAGGAGGGTCCCCGAGACCAGGTAGAGTTGGGGGCCCAGGGAGGGAAGGAGTCTGCTGAGGTCACCCAGCGACGCGGCTTTCACCACAGCTCCCTTTACTGCTGACTTCCTGCGCGGTGCCCCCACCAAGTTCAGGCCCTGGTTTGCATCTGGATGCCCTCCTGTGTCCAGGGGCAGCCCCCTGACCCCCTTTTCTTTTTGGTACCTGGAATCAAACTCAGGACCTTGCATTTGCCAGGCAGGCGCTTATGCCGCTGAGCTATATCCCCAGCCCAGGAGTGGGGCTTCTGGGAGATGGCTGGATCATGGGGCAGTGTGCTCCTCGGTGGCTTTGACCGCGGATGTGGTCTCAGCCAAACCGGTGTAGGAGGCGTGGCCTGGGAGGAGGCGTGGCCTGGAAGGAGCATCCCTTGGCTCCTCCCCCTCCCTGCTTCCTGCACATGCGCCTTGAGCAGCCGAACCCTGCCCAGGCCCTTCCTACCTCAGAAGCCAGTGGACCAGGGACAGAACCCCCTGAACCGTAAGCAAAAGAAACCGCTCCCGCTCCCAGTTGCGGGCGTCGTTGCTGTGTCCCTGAGACAGGAAAGTGACTAATACAGTTCTCCTCCTGTCCCAGCCACGTGGTTAGCTGGAATTATGCAACCGAACAACATAAAGTTGAAAAATCCTTAGTGAACCACTGTCAGCCTGTTGGGGCCTTTGCGTTTCCACTCAGGGCAAAGGGAGGTGAGAGATCAAATTGCTAATCAATGGACTCCGAGAAGGCAAGATGATCCGGGGGCCCTTGGGCGAGGGGCAGTAGTTTGTGAGCGACTTAATCCAGCGGTGCTGGCTTTCGAGGTGGCGGAAAGGGCTCCAAGAAGGAGAAGGCGGGGGCCACTTGACCGCGGCAAAGGAAGGGACCCAGATTTCCCCAGTCTCCAGCGCAGCAAGGCCCTGCTGACCTCTTGACTTTAGCCTGGTGAGATCCGTGTCCGACTTCGGAGTTACAGAACGGTGAGACTGGGTGTTTTCAGCAGTAGGAGTGCGGCAATTTGTTGTGGCAGCAACGGGAAACTAGTACAGTCACACACACACCAACCACCTGGGGGGGGGCGGGACAGCAAGCCTAAGCCTGCAAGGCAGAAGCACAGGGCTTTTAGACCTTCCTGACACTACAGACACTACAGTAGGCAGATTCCTCGAATAGGACATAGAAAGTACTAAACTGGATGACAAAAACAGCTTCTATGGGCCAGAGGGGGGTGGGGCACATGCCTATATCCAGCACTCTGGAGGCTGAGGCAGGAGGATCACTATGAGTTTGAGGCCAACCTGGGCTACATAGTTCAGACAAGTGTGCGGAACTACATAGTAAGACCCTGTACCAAAAAAACTGAAAAAAAAAAAGAAAAAAAAAAAAAGTAAAATGAGATTTAAAGACAGGCAGAACCCATTTGTTAGCGTTAGAGATCAGGGACCGGGTTCCTTTGATGTTATGGCTTGAATGTGGCCCCCGAAGTGGAAGCTGAACATACACATTCTGTGACCCGCCGCCAAACTTCTGTTGTGCACCGGCCTGCACCAGAGGACGCTTCTTGCTCCTAAGCCCCAAACTGCAAGTGACACCAACACTGTCACCAGCACAAGGAACAAATGCCTCTGTGGTTTCTCCGTGCGATGAGAATACAGCAGTGAGGAGGGTAAGCACAAACAGCGGTGTGCATGGACCTGCACTTGTCACCCCGGGCAACACAAAGGTTTAACTGTAACTACGCTCGTTAAGACCCACTCAATGGCAAGTTCAGCTATAATCCTAGGTACTCGGAGAAGTGGAAGTAGGACTGCAAGCAAGTTCAAGAACAGCCTGGCTGACTTATGAAAACCCTGGGTCCAATAAAATATAAAAAGAGCTGCTAGCACAAAATAAAACTGGTGTTGGGGACACATAGCTCAGTGGCATGGTGCCTGCCTGGCAAGCATGAGGTCCTTTTTGTGTGTGTGTGTGTCTTTTTGAGACAGTTCAGGCTGGCCTTGGGCTCACTTTGTAGCCCAGGCTGGTCTCAAACATGCAACTATCCTCCTGCCTCAGCCTCCCGAGTGCTGGAATTACAGGCATGCACCACCATACCCAGCAAGCATGAGGTCCTGAGTTTGATTCCCAGTACCAAAAAATAAATAAGAAAAAAAAGCAAAAACACCCAGTAACACTCAGGAGTCAGAGGTAGGAGGATCACTGAGTTAGGGGCCCCTCGGACTGCGTAAATTCAAGGCCAGCCTGCACTGTTTCAAAACAAAACAATGAATTGCCTGGGCTGAACTCAAATTTGCCATCTTCCTGCCTCAGCCTCTTAAACTGCTGGGATTATGGACATATCTCACCAGCACAGCCTATTAAAAGGATTGGGCTGTGGCTCGGTGATAAGAGCGCTTCCCCAGCCCTGCACTTACCTCTGACATCATGTACACACACATACATAGACCCTGGCATGGTGGTGCACGCCTGTAATCCCAGCACTCAGGCAGGCTGAGGCAGGAGGATCACAAGTTCAAGGCCAACCTGGACCACTGGCAAGACCCTTTCTCAGAATAAAAATCAAAAGGCCTGGGATGTAGCTCAACACTCCCTAGGTTGAATCCCCATCCTACCAAGAACAAAAACTATCTGGAACCTGCTGAGCACCTGCAGTCCTACCCAGGGCTGGTGACCTCCGGCAGGGGCAGCAGAGTCCACACCATTCTCTGCTCTCGGCGGTGCCCAGCACAAGGTCACAGGACCATGCTTGCTCCTTCGCTGCGGGGGACCCAGAACCTGCATGGGTGTACATAGAGTCGGGGGTTCGGGCTCTATTATAAGCACTAACTCATTTAATCTTCTCAACCACACAAGAAGGGGCTGTGCTCCCTGCTTTACCAAGAGCCATCAAGACACTTGCCTGGGGTTATAAAACTAACCAACAGCAAAACTAGGATTCGAACCCAGGACCTGTGGCCACCAGGAAGTGTGTGCCCTGTGGAGCAGGGAACATGTCTCCTCCGGCTTCCTTTAATGCCAGAGGACACCCGATTTTCTTGTTTATTTTTAGTCTTGTTATGAAGCGTTTTTCTTAGTAAATCACCTTGAGTCCTGTCTGGAAGACAGCCCAAGAGAGACAGGACTTTTCCTGCTGGCATCCAGACCCTGGGCTCCAGGTGCTCAAACCACCCACCTCCCCCAACCGCCCAACAGTGCCCCAAAAGTGGGGCTCCACTTTGTGGGGCTTTGAGCTGCCACAGTGACCCCTAACCCCTATCCAGCTCCTCACCCACCTTCCCAGGCCTCCAAGATGCAGCCCCCCCCCATTTCACCAGCTGTGCCCAGCCCAGAGAGGATGTGGGTCGCCCCCAGAGCAGAGAGGGTGACCTCGCCTTTGCCTGGCACCCTGAAACTAAGGAGCACACTGCTGGGGACCCGCGGACTCGTCACTAGGGGCCACGCTCAGCCGGGAGAGGCCCAGACAGGACAGATGCACGGCCAGCGGGAGAGGCCGAGAAAATGAAACCAGAGCCAGAGGAAGCGGGGAGGAGGGGCTGCTCGCCCGCTGCCCCGTGGCCAGGCGTCCTGTGACTGTCGGGCACAAGTCCCCAGCTCCTGGCTCTAAAGTCCCTTTCCCTTAACCTAACTGGAGGAGGCTCCCGACCCTGCGACAAGCACGGCACGCGCCTCCCACCCGCGTCTCTGCAAGCCAGCTGGGTCTACAAACCATGCCCACCCGAGGCCTTTCGAGGATGTGTGTGTGTGTGTGTGTGTGTGTGTGTGTGTGTGTGCGCGCGCGCGCGCGCACAGCCATGTGGGAAGCCAGCACCATCGGACTTTGAACCTGAGCACACGGGCGGAGGTGTGCGAGCTGGGTGGAACCGCCCGGGTGAACCCCGGCAGGGCAGGGTGGCCGGGGGCGGGGCCTCCCCGGCACACCGTGCTAGCTCAGCTCAGCAAAGGCGCGCAGGCGAAGGGCGACCTCTGCCCTGCGACATCCCGCCCGCGGTGCCGGCTGCAGCGATGAGACCGGTTACCCGCAGAGAGCGCGTGCACCGAGCGCCCGGAGCCTCCGCACACACGGCGCGGCGCGTTACGGCGCGCGGAGGCCAATGCGCTCCCAGGACCCACTGGGCGGGGGGCGGGGGGCGGGGGGCAGAACGGCGCAGGGGGCATCGAGTGTCTGGGTGGAGGTCCTGGGAGGCACTGGGGGGGAGCAAGGAGCAAGTGGAGCTGTGGGGACGGCGGCTTCCTATGGCAGCAGGCCCGGGCAGGCGGGCGGGCAGGGCGGCCTGCAGGGCACACAGCCCGGGCAGGGCTGAGCCTCTCGTCACCCCGGGTGTGAGGAGCGGCTCCAGGGTGACTGGTGCAGCAGCAGACACGCTGTCACTGGTGTGCAGTTCCCTCGGCAACCGGAAACTTCTGGTTTACAGGAGGGGAAATCAAGGCAGAGAGGGGCAGCGTCGTGGCCAGGGCCACAGAGCTAACCGCGGCGGAGGAGGAATTTGATCCCAGGATGCCGGGCACCAGCTTGCAACCCCAACCCCCAAGGAGCGCACAGGGCTGGGAGGGCAGCTGCGGACTGCGGGGTCGGGGTGCAGGGTCTCGTTTGCGCCTGCTGGGCACTAAGTGCTGCTCCTGCTCCCTACCTCCAGCCCCGAAGCTGCACCCCAGCATCACTGCGGGGCTGGGCGAGGCAGACACCGGCGCGCCTGTGCTTGCGAGCGCCGACCGTACCCAGGACGGCACATTCCCTTCCCTCCGCGGGTCCGCTGGCCTCGAACCCTGCGCCCCAGTCACCTGCACGCCCCGCCGGCTCCCGACCCCCGGCCCTCGCCCACGTGTGTCCCCGCCGGAGGGCCCGGCTGTGCACTCCGTCCCGCCGCCCCATCGCGCGCCGGGCTGGTCCTCGGGGCACCCGGCCGTCCGGGCCTGGGGTTCTGCGGACCCGCCGGCCCCTGGCAGTGCCAGACCGGGCGGCCAGAGCCCACGAATGAAGGGCTCATTGTTTACATTCGCGCGTGGCGGGGGTGGGGGCCGCCCGCACACGGGGCGCTCCTTGCACCCCGGTTCTCCGCTGCCCACCCCACCCGCCTCCGCGGCCTCTCGGGAGGGCGCGGCCGCTGCCCG